GAGAGAGGGAACTGCAGAGACGCACGGTGCCAGAGCCAGGACCACTGGGAGTCTCTGCAAGCGCAACAACCGCCGACACGCCGAGAAGAAGAACGAGTTTCTTTATTTCTTTTCCACAGTGTGCGTGGGGGGAGCAGGGCTATGACACGCGTATAAAGAGCCCCAACGTACAGTGCTAACGCAGGCGGATCTTTGTTTTATTCCCCCCAAAAGATGAGTAAAGACTCAAAGTGCCTGCGACAGCTCGGTGCGACTCTGCTACTAGTCCTGTTCGCCGGGGTGCAGCGATCCGACTCTGCGGTAAGTACGCTTCCAGTTCCTTGCACTGATTTTTCCCCCGCTGCAGGAGAACCTGCAGAGACCCACCGGCTCCCTCAGCGAGCGAGTAAAGTTTCTAAAATAGAGAGTCTGCTTTATAACAAGTGCTTCTGCTCTAATAATAATGATCCCGGTTGCCGTTTCCGTTTTACTTGCAAATAAAAACCATGTAATTACACCAATGATACACCTCTGCGCTCAGCTTTCATGGCTTTTTGACTGCTAGGATCACCTTCGCAGGACCTGCAGATTTTCTTGGTGGGAGATCGGACGAAGTTTCTGTCCTGCCCCCGTCGTGCGCATCTTCGCGTTTCGCGTACCTGCGGTTATTTTTTTTCCGCCCTGTGTCTGTATTTTGTTCCTATTCTCGCGTCAAGAACTCGGACGGATTCTAAACTCGGCGTGTGGAGGGAAAGCGGCGCGCCGATGCTTCCCTTAAGAGCCCGCTTGTGTTCGGATTGAACCTCGAACAGCGGGGCTGCTGTTCAGTCTTTTGTGCGTAATTTTGTTTTGGTGTCCTGAAAGAGGGAACTGTGCGTTTTTCTCTCCAGGTGTGTGCAGGTGTGCTTTAAGTTGACAGCAGCTGCTTTCAGACTCACACTGAAGTGTAGAGAAATGAAACCCATATTTAGTGCAGCTGATTAGTTTGCATTTGAGAGATGATTCAGAAACAGCAACACAGGTGGGGAAGTGTATGAGCGCGCTCGCACTTTTCCTCTCTTCGCCCTCCACATCTGTTTAAACTAGTGCCTCCTCATCCTCAGCTGTAGATCTCTAACATGTCGGGATGCCGATGCATCACCAAATCAGTGCAAGTGTCTCTCACTCAGGCTCCTCATATAATATTCCATGAATATTCCCTCGTCATTAATTATTAATGAGTCGTGGCTGCACGCCCACCACACACCAGGCGTGTCCAATCAGGTCTGCCAATCAGGTCTGTTTGCCGTTCTGTAAGTCCTCTAAGCTATGCGTGGTATGAGTGGGGTTTTTCATGTTTTTCAAATTATGCAGGAGACATTTGTGTGTTTGAAGATTTTATGGATTAGATTCAGTGTTTTGATGGCAACTGGAACACTGAACAGAGTATGAGCATCCTGTGAAATAACAAAAACAGCACAGGATCAGGTCTAAGACTAAAAAATCAGCATTTGAGAGTTGAGAGTTGTCTGCTCAGAGTTTATAAAGTGATTAGAGATGAAGAATAAATTAACAGATAGAAGCTCTTTCCTCTCCTTCAGCTGTAATATGTCAAAACTATGGTTTGACCTCTTCCCTGCTTTGCTTGGAAGTTGTCTCGGTATGACAGAGATTAAGTTTACTGCAATATTTCACCAAGGCCATGAAAGTTTATCAAGGACCTTGAAGTAAACTGTTAAAAGGGTGGAAAAAAGAGAAAATGAACTAAAAAACGTATAACTGTAATTAAGATAGTTACTTGCTATATTAACGTTTTTTTGACATTTAAGCGTAATGATACACAAAAAAGTCACTGAACTTTCACAAATGGTCATTAATGTGTCAATAGATAATAGTAAATTAGCTGTGTGTTTTGGAGCATTCCTTTAATTTAGTGTGAAAGAAGACTCTTTAGGGAATCAAAGTTCCCCTTTCTCCATTAAAGCGCTCATTGAGTCCCCCTAGTGGAGACAGTCTGCCCTGATGTCACTGCTAGCACAAGAGATTGAAAGAAATGATCATTTGTGGCATGTCTTTGTCTAAATTTCCAAACTTGCGGGATAAAAAACCCCTAAAGTCAAAGACAAAGCAGCTATGTTCCTGTAACTTAAGCTGACATTGTTTTCAGGTTTAAAACAAACAGACTGGTGTATGTGCGGAGAGTTTCTCATTAAGTTTGAAGGAGAGAGCGTCATAAGTCATTTTTATTGCTCTCTCTCTCTCTGTGTATTAATCCTCACAGATATCAATCTCCATTCAGCCAGGTGAGGGGGTTCAGCGGTAATGTATACCTGGAGGTTTTCCTTTGAACCCGTCATGCAGTGCAAACCACAAACACACACTTAATTTGATGCATGCTTTTTGCGCAGCAAGGGAGGCGCACACCTATATACACCCGCTCGCCCTACACGTGACCCACATCTCAGGTGGAGTCTGTGCAGGGGCGGATCTGTCTGCATGTATGTGTGTGTTTGTGGTGAGAGTTATAGTCAAAACATCCTGACATTGCGGAGATTTGGAGATCGGCAGAGGAGTATCAGCTAACACATCAGAGCTGCAGCTTCCACGATGTCTTCTTCTTCTTTGGTGTTTGGTCTCATTTTTGTCCCCCGATTTGTTTCCTAGGATCTTCTGTCTTTTGTCAACTCTTCTTTAATCGGTCTCCCCCCATCCACTGCACTCGGTCTCGTTCCCTCATGTAGCGCCATGATGATGACGATGACAATAATCAGTCTTGGCAGGAATTTTCCAGATGCAAGATGTACTGATCATTCAATCAATCCTCTGTCTAATAATAATCACATTTATAACCACCATAAATCAGCCTGTGCATCATGCAAGTTCAACAAAACAAATTCGCTCTTGGAACTCCTTCTCACTAGCAGAAATGGTAACGTTCAGAAAAAAATCAAACATGGACAGAACCTGGTCAATTTCTTGCCAAAATTCCCCTGGCTCTGACTTTCATTAAGCCCTTTTTTGGTACTAGGCTTCTGGCACCGGCACTCTTCAGTTCTTGAGTGTGTCAGCACCACATTAGTGGAAACGTTTCACCTGTTTACCTTCTCCTTCTCCTTTCACCTTCTGTATCTGCCTCCCACTGCTCCACCTTTGTGTCTGTCCTTGAATGCAAATTCCATTTTTATCTAGCTAAAGGCTCCATAAGCGAGCAGCAGTGGAGGGAGCAACTCTCCAAAGACTTCCATGGATGGATATATATTTGAATATTAGAATCAACTATACGTGTACCCTGCAGGTTTGTCAAAAGATTCATTTTATTATTCAATTAGCATTTGAATTAATACTCAACAGCATCAACAGTTCCGTCTTTGCCTCCTCTAGTCAATAAACAGCTTCACACAGCAGTGATGCAGTCAGAAAGCCCTTCCCCCTCATTAGCAACTCAAGCAGTTGATGTTCACAACCCTCAACAGTTTGGAGGATTTCAGGAAGGTTTCAACAATGCTGGAGTATTGTAAAGCTTGTGGGCGTGCACACAGTACTGTCCAAAAGTTTTAGGCCGGTGAGAAAAATGCTGTAAACAAAGAATGCTTTCAA